GATGACCCCAAAGACATGTTAGTTATCACTGCTCATGGGTCTGTATAGTTAAGCCTTGCCATAATAGCTTATCGTAGGGCTTAGGAGGATTATTCACTGAGTGCTGATCCCTTTTTTTTTTTTCTTTTTTTTTTTTTATTAGAGCACAAACTTCTTGTGTTTATTTGAATGCCTCTGAACCACCATCTGAACGACAGCTGTGGCCACAGTGTAATGTTCTCATGTTATCCGACCATCCATACGTACGTATGCAAACATATCTCAAGAACATTTTGAGGGAATTTTTTCAATTTTGGCATAAATGTCAACTTGGACTCAGGACTCTCAGTATCTCGGCATTTGGCGTGATGACTCTGTGTCTTTTAAACCTCAGGTTGACGATCTTCTTAAAAGCTGAGGCTGTTTCTCCTCTGACTGACAGAAAAATACTGGCTGCTGCAACGTTTTTACCAGTTCTGGATTACAGTGATCTGCTGAACATGAATGCATCTGCACATGTTAGACACTGCCTATCATGGCACACTGAAGTTTGTTACAGACTGTAAAGCCCTCACTCAGCACTGTACACTTTATTCCAGGGCTTTGACCTTTTATAGGCGCAGTCACAGGTATTTGTTCATTTATAGAGCCATACTGGGTAAACTGTCATCGTACATATTTACTTTGATTGAACAGAGATCGGGCGGCACGGTGGTGTGGTGGTTAGCACTCTCGCCTCACAGCAAGAGGGTTGCCAGTTTGATCCCGGGAGTGGGAGCCCTTCTGTGCGGAGTTTGCATGTTCTCCCTGTGTCAGAGTGGGTTAACTCCAGGAACTCCAGCTTCCTCCCACAGTCCAAAGACATGCAGGTTAATTGGTGACTCTAAATTGTCCGTAGGTGTGAATGTGAGCGTGAATGGTTGTCTGTCTCTATGTGTCAGCCCTGTGATAGTCTGGTGACCTGTCCAGGCTGAACCCTGCCTCTCACCCAGTGTCAGCTGGGATAGACTCCACCCCCCAACGACCCTCAAGAGGATGAAGCGGTGAGAAGATGAATGAATGAATGAATGAATGAACAGAGATCTGACTGTAGCTTCAGTCTGAGATCTCAACACTTGGTCCTGTTGTCTGTTCCTGTTTCTCAGACTGAGCTGGGAGCAGAGTTTTTCTGAGCTCTGCTCCTCTCACTTAAAATAACCTTCAGAAAGAGTTGAATCTACGTGACCTGGTCTCTGCCTGATTTTAAAGCTCTCATAAGTACAAGGACCTCAATTGCATTGCAATTGCAATTACAATAACAAAGAGATTCTGATTCTGATAAATGAGTTGGTTGGATCTTGTCACTGTGAGTAGGTGTTCTCATATTTCTACATGTTACTGTAGATCTTTTATGGTTTTTATTGTGTTGTTGTTTGTTGCTGTCTCGACCAGGTCTCCTTTAAAAAAGAGTTAGTTCATCTCAACGGGACTCACCTGGTTAAAAATGGGTTAAATAAATAAAATGAAACTGAACTCATTCGAATATGATCGTCCACAAATACATCGGAAAACTACCGAGGGGGTCCTGGAGGAATTTACAGACAAGCAAACAGATGCTAACTGAGGAGGGTGAAAGGCTGCTGGGTTTTTGCATTGATTTTATGGTTTAATTGATCAAATGACTGATTGTTTTATTTAGTGGGGGGGTGGGACGACCCCCAGAGGGGGGAAGATGTAGTGCAGGTGACCAGACATGACTCTGACCAAATTTGGGTATGTGAGGAGAAGCAAATGTTCCCAGAACTGATTATCTAAATAACAGGAAACAGCAGCTTAAGTGACAGGAAGCCCCTCTGAATGTGTGTGTGTGTGCGTGTGTGCATGTGTGTGTGTGTGAAGGCTTGTAGGAGTGTGACACATTTATGAACTGACACTGTTGTTTAAACCCTCAAATGTCCGGTCCTGTGTGTTTTGAGTCTCTTTATTCTACAACAGTGGTCAAAGGTCAAAGGTCAAAGGTCACAGTGACTTTGCATCTGTCTCATTCTTGTGAATGTTACATCTCAAGAACAGCTTGAGAGAGTTTCCTCAAATTTGGCACAAACGTCGACTTAAACTTATGGATGAACTGATTAGAATTTGGTGGTCAAAGGTCACTGTGACCTCACAAAACGTGTTTGGCACTACCTCAAGAATTTATGCGCTGTTGTCAAGGATACCAAATTAGTAAGACAAAGAGGGGATGTGTCTCAGTGATCACGGGCAGAGAAGAAAAGTGACTGTCTTTGATGTTTTTATCTTTTCATCACATTTTAAATTTTAACGCCCTCTGTGTCAGTTTTGTCCCGTGGAATCTGAAGTGGTTCAGAGTTTCACTATTTTTTGAGGTACTGTATTGACATTAGAAATTCCACTGTCCTGACAACACTACACACCCCTGATGATGTCATAGTGAGGTCAGTGTGATGCATTTAGTGACTCACTGTCCTCTTCAGTCCTCTGCTCCACGGCGAGCGTGCGAACCTTCACCTTCTCCGGCTGTGTGAGGGGTCGTCTGGGGGTCATCAGACTGACGGCGGCCGTGCTCAGGAAGCGATTGGCTCGACCCAGAGTGGGAGAACTCAACCAGCTGGGCCTCGCCAGAGCTCCGCCCATCGCCGCCGCACCAAACGGCCTCTGTGGTTACAGACGCACAGATTAATAAATCGTGAGGAAGTCATGAGCTTCATCAACAGCTGTTTTCCCTCGTTTGATTCTATAAACTCAGTCTGATTAAATATGATTTATATTTTTTAAATCTTAATTTTTCAAATTAAGACAAAAAATTAAAAATTGTAAAAATATATTTTGTCTTTTATCAAAGACAAAATTTTATTTTCAAAATGATTCTTTTTATTTGTGCTGTAGCTTTTACATTATCATTTTTATTTATTTATTTTTTATCGTATTTTTTAATTTAATTTTATTGTTCTTATTATGTACATCACAGGCTCCCATACTGGGGGCCCATCCCCCTCTAGGGGTCAACAAAGCTTTGCAGGGGTCGTGAGGACTTCTTGATTTTATGGGATGTTGTTGTTGTTGTTGTTGTTGTCAGCGCAGAATGAATATAGGTTGACAGGATGTGTGTGTATGGATGAGCGCGTGTGTACACGTGTATATACGTATGTGTACACGTGTGTTGTGTGTGCGTACGTAGATTTTGTTTTTTAAGAAGGATCCTGTCGTCATTTGTGTTTTAAGTTTACTTGAAGTGTGTGTGTGTCCAGCTGACACTTCTGTCTGTTCTTTAAAACAAAACCTATAAAAAGCAAATCACACAAATAATAATCGTTTGAACATTAAATATCTCTGAGCTGCACTGAATGAACTGAATTGTATTGATGAAGGGTTAGGGGTTAGTAAAGGTCAAACAGGATTAACAGATCACTGCATCCTGTCTTTTAGGAGCTGGGTTTCATTTAACATGGCTGGATATAAACTTTTGTAGCTGCTGGACTGAGAATGGAGCAGCCCCTCCACAGATGACCACTGTTGTTTGGCTGGAGAGAATATCTGGCAGCCACCTGCATATTTCAGCAGCATTTGGCTGTTGCTGAAATCCAACTCTGATATAAAATATAAAAGTGTGTGCAGACTGGAGTACACAAAGAGAAAGACAAAAGGAAACCTGAGCTGCTCCGCTCTCCTCGTCCTCGTCCAGGTCGTCCATAGACGTGGCCTGGATCTCCGCAGGGTCGATGATGATGTTGGCTTTACTGGCCAAGTCATCTGGTGGACATAAAAAAATACAGTACGTGATATTAATGCAACAGTTCAGTTTGATCCTGACACCTGCGTCCAGGAAATCTCAGATATGATTTATTCTCACACAGACAGACAGGCAGACAGACAGACAGACAGGGAGACAGACAGACAGACAGACAGACAGGCAGACAGACAGGCAGACAGACAGACAGGCAGGCAGGCATCTCAGTGAAACTCTAAGGTCAAACACACATACAGGTTCTTGTTTATAAAGGACACCATGTTCAGGCTGAACACAAACAGACTTCACTTCACTAATGTGTGTTTACTGTGTGTTAAGTGTGTGTCGAAACTTTAGCATTCGCTGGTTTACAGAGCGATTCTTGTCGTACTTCCAGCATAAATATGTCTGTACATTAAGTAAAAAACTGAAACGGTCTCTGCTCTCCATTTACACGTTTTTATTGTCTGTACTGAGGGTTAGTGTGGAGACTGGCCGACGAGCCTTCCTTCTTCTGCACGAGGACTTAAGGCTGTTCTCAATGGTTCCTCTCAGCCGTTTTAAAGCTCTGCTGCAAGATTGTTGTTTGCAGTCATCTGCACTCACTGGCCTCTTTATTAGGTACACCTGTTCAGCTGCTCATTAACAGGTGACAGCAGAAGTTCAAACGGAGCATCAGAATGATGAAGAAAGGTGATTGAAGTGACTGGTTAAAGATGATAGAAAGGCAACAGGAAGTCAAATAAGCACTGGTTCCAACCAAGGTGTGCAGAAGAGCATCTCTGAAGCAACAACACCTTGTCCAACCTTGAAGCAGATGGGCTACAGCAGCAGAAGACCACACCAGGTGCCACTCCTGTCAGCTAACAACAGGAAACTGAGGCTACAATTCACCAAAACTGGACAATAGAAGATTGGAAAAACCACATTCAGATGGAAGCATGGATCCATCCTGCCTTGTATCAATGCTTCAGGCTGCTGCTGGTGGTGTAATGGTGTGGGGGAGATTTTCTTAGTACCAACTGAGCATGGTTTAAACACCACAGCCTACCTGAGTATTGTTGTTGAGCGTGTACATCCCTTTATGATCACAGTGTACCCATCTTCTGATGGCTACTTGGACCAACATCTCTGAGGAATGTTTCCAGCACCTTGTTGAATCTGTGACACCAAGAATTATAAAGGGGGTCCAACCCTGTACCAGCAAGGTGTACCTAATAAAGTGGCCAGTGAGTGTACATGTGTCAGGGTGTATTTAAGCTGGTGGTTGTGATCATGTGTAGTTTATGTTTTTATGGCTCATTTACAGCAGATACTACAGACTGTCTCATCAGGAGTTTTATACTTTTTGTTTTAGAGCTGTCGATTTTTTTATTTCGTATTTTTGTTCTATGCTGTCTGTCTGTCTGTCTGTCTGTCTGTCTCGGCCAGGACACTCTGGAAAAAGAGATTTTGTCCTGGTCAAATTAAAATAAAAAGTCTTCCTCCTCCTCAGCTCTCTGCCAACAGAAGCAGCCTCGTGTGTTTCCTTCCTCTCACGTGTACCTTATGCAGATTGAAAAGCCGTGCCTGGTGTTCAATCAGATTGATTAGTCAGCTAATCAATAAATGAGGTCACACTTGGTTAACAGCAGATGACACAACATCATGAGAGTGGCTCGTGGGTGATGAATGAGCCTGTGATTTACAGAGCGCAAAGATGGAGACTGTTAATCAAGGCCTGATTAAATGCAGGTAGAGAGGAGGAGGAAGAGGAGGAGGAGGAGGAGGAGGAGGAGGAGGAGGAGGGACAAAGAGAGGAAAAGGTGGATAAAAAGAGAGGACTGAAGTGTGCAGAGTAAAAACAGTATTTAAACACACTCCACGTGTTTCAGTATCAAACAGTCCTGCTGTACGTCTGACTGTCCAACAGTTTCATACATAAAAACACTAAAAACACATCTGACATGATTGTTGTTGTCATGACAACTCAAACATGACGTCATGAGTCTTCATCATAGGGCTGTGCGGTATACCCGTTCGTACCGAAAACCGCTATTTATTTTCGTTATGATATGAATTTTTCATACACCACAATACAGGTGAATAGCCCAAACAATGTCCAGAACATACGTGGCGGGAATGTGTTTCAGTGGGGACCCATTTCACTGCTGCACACCACAGGCGTGCTAGAGCCGGCGAGAGAGAGAGAGCACAGAGAAAAGTCTAGAGGCCACAATGGCAGCTGGAGAGAGTCCTGAAAGCAAAGCAACTGTACACGATGACCCAGAAGAACTCAAACCAAAAAGAGCAGTGTTTCCCTTGAATGCAACTAGCAGCAGCGCACCACCATTTACAACTCTCCTCTGCTCTCTATATCGTGCACGGCGGAATTTCACCCCGATGCGCGCACGCACGCACACACACACACACACACAGGTGAGCACACCAGAGCACGGCTCAGGCCTCATTTTCCTGACCAAACACGACCCGTGTCCGAGACATTAATAACCAAGCATAGCACTAATGGAGCGGAGCCTGTGTTGTGTTCAGGTGTTGTCACGTAAATAACAAATTATGGCACTTGAATAGGCCACAGCACAACACAGCAGCATGTCAAGTGGGACGAACCCGAGCAAAACACCGTCAAATTCAGTGAAACTGAGATTTTTATGAAAATTCTGTCATAGCGCCCAGCCCTACTTCATCACCTGGAAACCAGGATGAGGATGTAAAGTTAAAACACATGATGCGAGACGTGTTCAGCTGCTCTGTCACATGCATCGTCTGTTTTCACAGGAAATGTACAGTTCGCATACAGTCTCTTTCAAAATAAAAGCACTTTGTCTACTGCTGTCAAAGTTAGCCGACACACACACGTGGTTACGTTTCGCCAACACACACACGTGGTTACGTTTCGCTAATACATACACGTGATTACGTTTAGCCAACACACACACGTGGTTACGTTTAGCCAACACACACACGTGGTTACGTTTCGCTAATACATACACGTGATTACATTTAGCCAACACACACACGTGGTTACGTTTAGCCAACACACACGGTTACGTTTAGCCAACACACACGGTTACGTTTAGCCGACACACACACATGTTTACGTTTAGCCAACACACACGGTTACATTTCGCTAATGCATACAGGTGATTACGTTTAGCCAGCACACACACGTGGTTACGTTTAACACACACACGTGGTTACGTTTAGGCGACACACACACATGTTTACGTTTAGCTAATACACACACTTGATTACGTTTAGCCAACACACACGTGGTTACGTTTAACACACACACGTGGTTACGTTTAGGCGACACACACACATGTTTACGTTTAGCTAATACACACACTTGATTACGTTTAGCCAACACACACGTGGTTACGTTTAACACACACACGTGGTTACGTTTAACACACACACGTGGTTATGTTTAGGCGACACACACACATGGTTACGTTTAACACACACACGTGGTTACGTTTAGGCGACACACACACATGTTTGCGTTTAGCTAATACACACACTTGATTACGTTTAGCCAACACACACACGTTGTTATGTTTAGCCAACAAAAAGAACAGGGTTTGGCTTTACAATCTGACAGGAAGTTAACACCGGCCTCCTGGGTGAAAGTTCGTGACTGTTGGACTTCCACCCCTTAAACTTAAGTTGTTGTCCCGCCTCATTTTCCCCTCACGCCACCGGATGTTGTTAAACAAAAACAGTGACCAGCTGCATATCATGCTGACATGAAAGGATTTTTGACGTAGGTGTCTGACATCAGAAGTCACTGACCCAACGCCGGTTTTGGACGACTTCGCAGTGAAACCGGGTTGGTCCATTTTAGTAACTAGCTACTAATTACTGTGAAATAAATAATTAACTAAATATAAAACTGTAGATTGATTTGACAGGAAGGTTAGGGTAAGGAGGTGATGGGGTTGTTGCTTAGCAACAGTAAAAAGGCAAAAAGAGCATTTTTTTACTAGTGGCATTTAATTTAAAAAAAAAAAAACAGGCTGTGCGGTCCGTCTGTGTGATCTGGGCGTAAGAAGAACGAACTCACCTGAACAATCAGTGACCTGCTGATAGCTAAGCTAACTGCTAACTGCTAACTGCTACATCAGTGAGTGTCTGAATCATCACAGAGGGGCAGGATCATCTCAACACCTCAGACAACGATAACCACATCCTGTGTCTCGAACACCTTTATCTATAAAGTCAGGACAACAGTGCAGCAACAACTCCAGGTCTCCTGTTCCTCTCCTGAGTGAACATACGTCGAGCTCCAGACTCCACTTCATTCCATCAATGTTATTAATAGCTGCTTATTTTCTCCATTCATCCTTCTGTGACGTGATGTCAGAGCTGTGAGCTGATGAAGAACAGACTTTTGTGCTGCCCTCAGCTGTAAAGTTCCTCTGCTCTCTGATGAGTGACTCCTGAAGCACCTCCCTTGTGTCTCCTCTGAAGGGAGCGGCTCCTCCTCTCAGGGAAATGGAAATTAATGAGGCTGAGCAGCAGGTAATTGATTCCAGCCGTGTCGCTCGCTCTTCTCTGGCAGCATATCGCTCAGTGTACAGTGAGTCAGCCCAGAGACCATCGGTCCTCATTACACACCTACTGCCACACACAGCTGCTGTAGGAGGAACCCTCATCCTGCTCTCTGCTTGTGTTTCATATTAACACAACTGCCACTCTCCTGAGTCACCTGACCACCTGCTGAGTCACCTGACCACCTGCTGAGTCACCTGACCACCTCTAGATTTGTTAAACATCTCAACATTCATGAAGCTTCATTGTGAGACATCTCACGGAGGAAAACAGAGAACAAATAAAAAATATTCTGAACACGACAAACAAATGTTCATATCTCAGTGTCTGTAACAGGAAGTGATTCCTCCCTCTAGTGGAGCTCAGTTATCCTCCTCTTCATCAAGCTCACAGTAATTCTAACACTTTAACTCAGATCATCATCAGGAGCAGATTTGAATCCTCACAGATGAAATAAAGACGATCCTCTGGAACTGTACTGGGAAAATTAAACTGTGTGAATGACGACGTCTAAATGCACTAAATGTTACAGTTGGGTTTTTTTTACCGTCTTTCTGAAAAACACAATATTCCCTCTCACTTGTTTATGTCTCTAAGTCCAGTTCAGACCAAAAACTCACGACAAGACTAGCTGAAACAAACAATTACTGTCAACGCTCTGTTCTGTAACGTAATAAAAAGCTGCTGGTTCACAGAAAGTGACCACCATGAGACGGTGTATCATCTCTAGTCAACGACTCTCTGTGCTTCTGATCTGTAACGCTGACAGGAAGTGACTACCATGAGACGAATGTGACCAGTGGACTTCACTACAAGCTGATTGGCTGTTGAAACAGGTGACGTGCTTTAAAACCAGCCGCCGCCCATGTGACCAGCTGAGTGTCAGGTGACACCTTCAGCTGGCTTGAGTCGAGCTCAGACCGGCCAGTTCACACCGCTGACACTTTTCTGCAACGTTCTAAAACTGTTTCATGTCGTCACCGATCTTTGGTCTGAACTGGACTCTATGAAAATAAATATTCGCTAACACTCCTTGTTGACATGCGGCTGCACAGACTCTGATAAACGCGTCATAACATCATGTCAAAACATAAAAAGTGGAGCAGCTGGAGCTGTTTGTGTCATTTTGCTTCTTTGCATCATGGCAGCATTTTTTCAGTTTCCTGTCGGTGGTGGATGCGTTGGACCGTGTGAACGCAGTCTCCCCCTTTCTGTCCCTAAACCACCTTCTTAAAAGTCGCCATGGTGACATAGACGCCAGCTGATGACATCATGCTCTGACCCAGTTTGGGCTGGTTTAGGTAGTTCTCACTTTAAAAGCTTGTAGGTGCTGTGAAGGTGCAGCCGCACTGAGTTCATACTGTGATGTTGAAGGACTCACAGTGAGACATCCTGACCTGTTTAACCCTCTGTGGACACAGACACAAGCTCGAGGCGGGAACGTGTCACTGTAGTTCCACCTCGCTGTTCTGTATAAAAAGGTATGATCACAGCCGGGGGACAGAGCTGCCTCTGAGCCGGCAGTGGAGATAATAACAGCGCTAAATTACAGCCTGTGTGGAAGGGACAGGCGGCAGGAAGTGACCATGGGTGTAGAGGGTGTGACATTTTGACAAAGTGTGTGACCCACCGTGGGAGAATTAAAAAGCAGCTGTTAGCAGTTAGCAGCTAACTCAAAGAAAAAGAACAGCAGCTGAAAATGCCTTATATCAGGGACAGTACATGATTGTTACTGACATGTTAGTGCCATGGTTATTGTTTATAAAGAGCTGCAGACACATGTGCTATATGTCACACTAGAGGCTGACACTGTTGTGTTACATGTCACGCCTCTTTTGATTCCGATTATGTCATCATGGTGTCTAAAATCACACACTGCAGCGACATGATGCCGCCGTCGTTTGGTTCTGTGTAAAAATACAAAGCAGATGTAAAGACGGGACTTTGTAGCGGCTCTATAGCGCCATCTCTGGATAAAAAGGGCTTTACAGACCTTTGAGTGTTTTCTTCAGGTGGGACAGGAGCCCCCCCAGTCTCTGCAGGTCAAAGTAGTCCACCTTCCCGTTGTAGAAGAGCTGGGGGGGGACGTAGGCCTCTGGAGACGGACAGAGTCACAGAGGGAGGAGAATTAAAAGAAGAGATACAAACAGACAGAAGACACACTGAGCTCATCATCAACAACCTTCATCACAGTTATAAAGCTTCATCATCATCATCATCATCATCATCATCATCACACACACACACACACACACACACACACACAGAGTTTATCATGAACCTTCACTGAGGAGACGAAACATGACATCACACAGATTAACATTAAAAATAAGCCACATTAGTCACTTCACTTCTTACAGTTCAGTGTTTCCATAGAATCTTCTGCGTACCCCTTTTCTGGTTTGGTTTGGTTTGGTTTGGTTTGGCTGAACATGTCGCCCATTTTGTAGAAAATACCAAGATATATATCATGTATCACCCAAATATCAATTTTTAGGTTTTTGTGGGTTTGTGAACGCAGCGGAGGCAGAACTGTTCGTGAGTTCTTTAATCCTCAGCAGCAGTTTGTTGCGTTTAATTAGCAGGCTAGATATCTGATCAGAGCCGATCATATCAGATCAATGGAAGAGAGGAGCAGCTGCTGCAGAGGCGAGTGAGGTTTCACTTTGACGTTCTGCTGCTCTGTCTGTGCTCAGTGTCGCTCTGTGCTCCAAACAGCGTGGAGCAATGAATAACCAGACACTTTATACATTCCAGCGGCGCTCCTGATCAAGGGTCCAGCTACAAACACACAGAATCAATACGTGGCGCCAGATATCGTGGTCAGACGCCACAGATAAATGAATGTGTGGGAAACCCTGCAGTATTAAAGTGTTGTGGATTTATTCGTACTCAGGGCTGGGTGCTTTGTTCTCACTGATGTTCATTCATCTACATCTGCAGTAAAAGATTTAAATATTCAGATTCATCTAGTTTTATGTTCCTCTCCTCGTCCTGAGAAAACCTGCAGCTGAAACAGATGAAAAAATCTCCTGCCGTGTCACAGGGCTGTTTAAAGCTTTGTAACGAGTGTGTTGTTGTACCTTCACTGCTGATGCTGCTCAGAGTCTTCCTGCTGCCTTCGTCCCAGCTCGCTCTCACGGCTGTGATGAGGCGGTGGAGGAAACACACCATGTACTCTGGAGGACACAGAGCTGTGGGGTGCTGCTCAAACACACAAACACACACAGGTTCAAATACGCTGGTACAGAAACACACACAGACTCACAGAGACGCACCGACGTTCCAAAATAGTTTGGTCTTCTCCATCAACATGAGGCACGTCTGACTGTATCTTTACCGCAACATGGCCGAGGTCATGGTGATAAATGAGGAAAAATAAACACCCTGGATGATGATCACCTGATTCTGCACCAGAGGTCAGTTTATGATTTGTCTCAACACCTGGACTTTTTGAAGCTGCGCTCTGCCAGCGTCGTTGCAATCAATGATCACACTGCAGTTTAATGCAATGGGATCTTTATTCACCGTGGTGAAAGAAGAGGATGCACTACCATTATTGCTTCTGTAAATCATGTGATCTGCAGAATTGACATCATATCACAGCTAAATGAAGCTGGTGGAAGAGTCTGTACCAGCTCAGTTTGAAGCATCTTAATTTAATATTTTATGTTTTTGAACGGCAGCATAATTTGACTCATGCAGGCTGAACTACACTTCCAGTGTGTCCACAGGATACATTTACTGCACCGCTTTGTTTTCTCTTTCTGTGCAAAATGATTCGTTGATAAAGTGTAAAAATATTAACTCTTAGGGTCCACAGCAGTGTACGGAGAATTATTTCAGTCAGTGAGGTGGCAGAGTTCAGGGACTGGTGACGGATGGAAGGTCACACTCAACAGAAGAGCTCATTTAAAATAACAACAAGTAATTAACATGAACTGCTTCATTATTGGGGGACTGTGAACATGACGTCACACTGTACAGACAGGAAACACTGTGTGATGACAGGGAGTGCCTCTTACCCCTCTGTTGCTGGCATTTTCCTGGAGGAACTTCCTGAACTTATTGAGGAAAATGTATCGAGAGGCTTCTCCCTGAGAGAGAGAGAGACACACACACACACACACACACACACACACACAGAAAACTGATCAGATCAATCCACAGACAATAAACCAGTGTGAGCTGAGAGGAGACAGAGAGGCAGACGAACGCCGTCACCTGCGTCCAACATTAATTAAACATCCAGTCACAGACAGAGGATGTGATCAAACCTCAGCTCAGAGCAGGAAACCTCACGAGGCTTTTTTTAATCCACAGTGACTGAGGGGCGGAGACTCAGGCGAGCTGTCGATTCAGTGTGTGAACATTTAATCAGGCAGACGCCGGCCCAGCGAACACAATAACACGCTACACTGCAGACTTTATAATTGTCCTTTCAATCAGCTGCTCAGTGATCAGAGTCTTAGTCAGAGTGCCGCTTCACTTTTCTGAACACATTCACATTCATTTACAGTTAAAGAGCTGCTCTGATCTCCATCATTATCCACTGTCTGACGTCAGGATGTGTTAGAATATACACTCTCCGGCCACTTTATTAGGTACCCTTCCATGTTGAGTTTCACATGCTTCCATCAGGGCGGAGGTTTTGCCTCCCTAAATGAAGCACTAAGCGTTACAAATCATCCTTTGTTCTGTCTGCTGATCTGAACCAGCGATGACCACTAATGTCCATGATTTATCCCTGACAGTGTGTCATACTGGATTCTGTGTGTTTGTATTGTACTGTCTGTTTTGTTTTAATTATGACTACTGTCTGTATCCCAAAGCGCCCCCAGAAGACATTCAAGTTTTACCTTACGTTACCTATTCAGTAGGTGTCAGCAGCTCATTCACATTTAGTCATGTGGACATGGTGAAGACGAGCTGCTGAAGTTCAAATGGAGCATCAGAATGATGAAGAAAGGTGATTTAAGTGTCTTTGAACGTGGCATGGTTGTTGGTGCCAGACAGGCTGGTCTGAGTATTTACTGGGATTTTCAGCACAACCATCTCTAGGGTTTACAGAGGATGGTCCCAAAAAGAGCAAATATCCAGTGAGCCAAAATGCCTTGTTGATGCCAGAGGTCAGAGGAGAATGGCCAGACTGGTTCAAGATGATAGAAAGGCAACAGGAAGTCAAATAAGCACTGGTTCCAACCAAGGTGTGCAGAAGAGCATCTCTGAAGCAACAACACCTTGTCCAACCTTGAAGCAGATGGGCTACAGCAGCAGAAGACCACACCAGGTGCCACTCCTGTCAGCTAACAACAGGAAACTGAGGCTACAATTCACCAAAACTGGACAATAGAAGATTGGAAAAACCACATTCAGATGGAAGCATGGATCCATCCTGCCTTGTATCAACGC